TTTTAGTCACGCCTGTGATCACAAATAGCACATGGGTACTTCGGGGCCCTTCTGTAGCTTTGGCTAGAGACAGTGCTGTTAACGCACCTCCAAAATACTAACAGATGGCCTAGCATGACATGACCCCAAGCCCTCTTCTCCTGAGGGAGCTAAGTGGTGAGAAATAGCTAGTTCTTCAAATCAAAAGAATCTTTCACACCCCACAGGAGGTAATAGCACTTATCCCCACGCCCTCCATCTCTTATGACATTCTGAAACAATAGCACATCAGATCTGTTGCAGCAATGTGCAGCAGTACTGGTCTGTCACTGTCCAACACATACAGGCAGCACCATCAGCAGTTATCAGACATGATCAGGAAGGAATGCAGCTTTCCTGAAGAGAAATGCTGCTGCATATCAGTCTCTGTGGCGTAATCGGTTAGCGCGTTCGGCTGTTAACCGAAAGGCTGGTGGTTCGAGCCCACCCAGGGACGAGCTCCCTTTTAAACATCAACAGGAACCTCAGGAAGTCCAGCAAGGTGAAATGCCAAGTCTTGCCCCTGGGGAGAAACAACCCCAGGCACCAGTACGTGCTGGTGGGGGCCATCCTACTGGAAAGCAGCTTGGCTGAAAAGGACCCGGGTGTCCTGGTGAACACCAAGTGAACATGAGGCAAAGCAAAGGAAGTCAGTAAATTGCACCGTAAGACCAAAACTGGATTAGGAGATTTGACAGGCCTTCATAAAAATCACTTGTGCACTAATGTCCTGCATTAGGAGGAGCACTGCAATCTTTGCCCTCTCCTCAGCACTGGTGAGGCCACACCCAGAGTCCTGTCTCCAGTTCTGGGCTCCCCAGTGCAAGACAGACACCGATGTACTGAAACGGCCACAAACTTGATTAGTGGACAAGGAGTATCTTTCCCCTGAGGAAAGGCTGAGACAGCTGGGACTGTTCAGGCTGGAGAAGGTTCTCACAAGGGTTCTTATTATCGTATATAAATACTGGAAGGGCAAGTGCAAAGAGGGCAGAGCCAGGCTCTTCTCAGTGGTGCCCAGGTGCAGGACAAGAGACAACAGGCACAAACGAACACAGGGGTTTCAGGAGTATCAGGGTAACAGTTTTTCACCGTGAGGGTGGCTGAGCACTGGCAGAGGTTTCCTAGAGAGGCTATGGAGTCTCCCTCCTTGGAGATATTCAGAAGCCATCTGGACAGGGTCCTGGAAAATGGGCTCTAGGCAGCCCTGACTGAGCAGGGAGGTTGGACCAGACAGCCTACAGAGCCCCCTTCCAACCTCAACCCTTCTGTGTTCAGCATACTGTTAAAGGACAAAAATCTAAATCAAATCACATCTAGATAGATGTGATCTCTGACCTCCGGCACCCCAAGTACCCAATTAATCTAGAACTTCAGCTTTGATATCATACCAAGCTCAGGAATTATCAGTATATGAAGCCCAACTCTTGCTTCCATAGGCATCCTACCTTCTGTTCTTCTGGACAACAACTGCCCACAGGCTTCGCATCTTTCTCATACCTGCCCTGAATTAAAATAATTCACTCTGTTTGAAGCTGAAGTTCAGAGATTATACATAATCTCTAACCAAACTAAAAGATATAAATTGTTTATATAATGATTATATACTTTAATAAAGTATATTAGTAACGAAAGTATGTTTGATAATTATATTAAATATGCTTGCTATTTGTATTACATAATTATATATTTTGGGTATGTAATGTATCGTACATTAAATGTGTTATGTATCATTAAAACTGCACAGTTTGGGTGGCTGCTACTGCTCTTCCCTGAACCCCAGTTTACAGCTTTACTCCTATCTTAAGTAGTAATGAGAAGCTCCAGATCTAGCTATGTTAAAGAACAAGCTTCATGCTGTCATGAACATCTTGATAGCCACACTCATCAGATCAGGAAGCCCAGCCTGACAAGCATTAACAACTGAGAACCAATCATTCCTTGCCAAAAGGATCCAACCAGACTTTCTCCCAGAACCAAGTAAATTCAGAGCTGATCATACATAGAAAACACTATGAAAGTTTCTTTCCAATCATGATTTGACACTTCTATTTTAAGGATACTTCTGAGATTTTTATTATGCTTCTAAAATAAAGAACTAGAGCCCACCAGCTCTTGAAATCCACTAGGAATTTTTCTATCATTGTATAAAAGATGTGTACAGATGCTACAGAAAACTAGTAGCATGAGTAAAAAAAAAATAAATCTTTAGTTAATCACTGACCATTTTTTACTCCCAACAGAAGGGACCAGATGTTACTCAGGCACAAGGGCAAGGATAAAACCTCTTGCATTAAAATCAGCCACAGAATGTAAGCACACAGTAGTTTGGAAACACACCTTCACAGTTCTTTGCCTGTATAACCCTTCATCAATTTTTAATTAAGGTGCCACAGGTATTCAAGAACAAGGTATGTGGAAACCTTACAAAACTTGGAACAGTTTTAATGGAGAGCTTCTCTCTTTTTTTCCCCCAAAAAAAGCTAATGCTGTTGGAAAGTGACCAGGAAAAACACCTTCTATTTTGTCCTTGAAGGCCCAACTAGCTCTGAAAACCATGAAATGATTTGTCTGGCAACATGAAAAGCCCTGCTCATACTAATGTTGCTTATTGACACCTCCATGAAGGACAGCAAGAGAATGAAAACTCCTGCAGGAGCTTTGAACAAGGTAGCACATATGGTCTGGATGCAGCACCTTGAACATTTATATCAATTCTCTAGTAGCTAAATAGCAGGAACATGCTGATTACAACACAGGCTGCCTAAATTTTGCATTTTTGAAAAAAATGCATCCAGTTCAGCCTCAGAACACAGAATTACTACACCAAACTATAGGACAAGATTAGGATTATTGTAGTTCGTTATAGATAGGTTATTCGCAAACAAGGGAACTACAAATTAAGCATACAGAGCAGTTACTACGGTGGTATGTGCAGCAACAAGAACACCACTGTTTCCTGAAGTTCTGCCAAGGCTGATGAGACAGTCATTGCTATCGTTTGGAGACTTACTGAACTCACGTTTTCATTTTGTTAAGACTTGCTTTGAGCCAGCAGTTGATCTCATTATTGCAGCAGAACAGGAAAAGTGATGCTGTAGTTTGGATAAAAGCCCCACTAGCAATAAAAAAAAAAAAAAGGCATCTTGAAATCGCCATGAGAAATCTGTCCCACCTCTCTTTTTAAAACAGTGGAAGAAGAAATCCAAGACAAAACTATAATAACATTTAATAGTATTCTCAAGCCTAAATTCAGATGTTAACTGCTGTGCCATATTCTTCCAGGCTAGCGTGAAGACTACAAAAAACCTCTGCCAGCCACAAGTACTTAACTGCTAGTATTTTTAACATTCACTACGGAGTAAATGAACTGGAAACTTCAGTTTTAACTTTCATGATCATGTAAGATTTCTCAGTTACCTCATTCTGGTTTAGTATTTTCTTATAGTACTATCTGCTGTGGAAATGGACACATTCTCATCACCTGATGAACAGCAAACATTAGCTATCTCTGTTATCCTTCAGCAACCTACTGAGGTAGACTGAAGGATCTCTTGCGCATACTTCTCTGACTGCAATACTCAATATTCCACAAAGACACAGGCTTAAATCAGTATTAAGCAGAGGTTATGATACTGCTTGTAATAGTTTCAGCCATGCTTGCATTAGAGCTACAACAGAAAGTGCACCTGGAGAGAATGGTAATACAATTCTGACCTGCAGAGGGGAAAAACAACTTTGAAAGCATGGTAACAGTCTTATTTGAAAGACAGCAGCTCCCATCCCCCACCCCCCCAAAAAAAGAGAAAGAATTTGAAAAGAATGTAGTAATTGATGCTAAATTCACTCTAACAAATACTGGAAGCACAGGAACTCACTCGTCCAGTACACAGCTTCTTGACAGAGCAATGAGGAAAGGAGGTGAAACTCTAGGAAAAGCCATTCCTCAGGGACATAATCAAACATGCTTAAAAAATGAAGATAGAAAGGCTAGTTGCAAGTCAATTAGAAAACATCTGCTTTAAGAAAAGTAGCTGTCCAACTGCTCTCAGTCTCACTAAATATGCTGTTTCAGAATACTCCTCTTCCCAGAAAAAAATGAGCAAATGACTTGATTCTTTTGCAGAACAATACCCACTATTCAGAGTACTCTGCAGTTCTTCCCTTTGACAAGAGCTGTCAGATCTGGCAAATGAAGAATAAAAGATGAATCCAGGTCCTGTGATAAAAGGACCATTTGTGAGAAACTGAAAATTCTCTTCTCAACAAGGGGATAACCCAGACAAGGGGGAAAACTATCATTATGATATTTGCCCAATATTGCTGAAGTAATACCAAAATAATTAAGTTATTCAGTGTTCTAATGCTCCTACAAGTTTCCTCTACTGCTAGCACTCAAAAACCAAAATCCTTTGACCTCAATGTTAACAAACAGGTTTGCTCAGCCCACATATTCTGCATGAAACAGTAATACAAATCTAACATTTTAATACAATATGTATGTATATTTAATTTCATTTACACATTTAAATCTTCCTACTACATTAACAATACTATAGATACAGTATTTGGTAAAAATAACTAGCATGGTTAAGTCTTCAGAGTTTGGTATTATTTTCTAGCAAGTGTAAAACAGAATAGAAAACAGTTTCCTCATGAAGAATAGTGTATTTTAACAGAAGCAGCCAAGGCCTGCTGCAAAATACAGGTCACATATGCTGACATTTACACAAAACCTTGAAGTAATAAAAGGTACTGTCATTCACTATATTTACATGAAACTGCCCAATAGTTCAGTAACCAATTGCACTAAAGTGATTATTTAAAAAAAAAAACCAAAAAAAAAAAACAACACAACACAGCATCCTTGTCTTGTCCTTCAGAAATCAGAAATAATTTTGTCTGCAAGAAGTGACCTCGTTTAAACTGTATGTGCTAGAAAATATACAACTCTACAATAGGAAGAGGTTAGAAAATTTGAATACTGTGGAAAAAAAATTTTATTAGTCTATACAAGTCTTCTGAACCAAACCATTGGCTTTGATACAGTAAATTCAAATGAATACTCATTGTAATAGTGTTTTTCCATACAGAGATCAAGAAGCTCTATAGCTTCCCATTTAGTGTCTGTGACAGGAAGTTTTATTTCTGAACAAGTAGCTGCACAAAGCAGACATGTGATAGAGATCTTCACAGCCACAGTGAGCTACAGTTTGAGATAAAGTTATATTACAAACATTTAGTAAACTTAGGCATCTGTACCGAAGTATGGCAAAGTGATTCACAATGAAAGAACAAAGATGTCATTCGGACCCCTTGCCAATAATGAAGACTTTCTACAGCAAGTCTAGAGTAGACTGCATCATAAAAACCTAGAGTGCAGGAGTACCACAAATTTAGTGCATAAATATCACAGGATTAAAACTCCAGTTCAGCCATCAACTGAAGTAATGATTAAAAAGAAAAAAGGGTGTCCCCCAGCTTTGCAAAGGAAGCTTTCAAAACATCTCTTCAAGAACATGCTGATACCAACTATGGCCTGTGACAATTTGTATTTTAGACAGCTCTGCTGAAAGACAAAAATTTAGCAGACTTGTCCAAGAACAGTATAATCTTGCTCTTTTTAATACCATAAAAACATTTACTAGAAGAGATGAAATGTAACATTTATAGCTCACACTGTTTTAAGATCTGTGCACACTATATAGTTCTATAATTTCAAGAGTACTTAAAAATAAGAGCAGACAATGCAGTAATGTGTTTCTGTTAGATGGATTTGTTTAGAGTAGTTATATGATGAATGTATACAGTTGTAAAATTTTTAGTGCATTTGTTTTTGCACATTACTTATGCTACTTATAAAAACCTGAAGATTGCAAATTGGGCATGCTTACCATAACATTTTAAAACTAGGAAAGCTGCAGAACATTTTTCCTACAAGTGTTCACTGCCATGATACAAAACAAATATGTGCAAACTGCAAGGTCCCTAAAAATAGCATTTAATGAATTTATGTACAGAAAGATGTCACTATCTGTTTAAATATGCAAAGAATAAGCTTCCCAAAGTTTATAACATAGAACAATATCCACCACATGCTCCTCCTCCTCCTCCATATCCTTCTTCCTTGTTTGATAACTTTACACCTCTGTTTTGGCTCTCACTCTCCCACAGTCCAGGAGTCTGAATGATTTTTTCAACAAGTTCTTCAAAGGCACACTGTACACCATCGCATGTTTTTGCACTTGCCTCTGGAGAAGGGACGCAAGAAGTCACGTGTTAGTATAGCTTCCAGTAACTTCTTTAGTATTTTTCTTTCAGTTAAGTCTCAACCTACAACCTAGACTTACAACTTCTACAATATATTCTGTAACAACGCAGCAGTGCCAAAATTAGAAGATATGCAGATTTCTGTCGCCACATAAGGCGACACCTCAAAAGACTCTTAATAGAACAGCTTCCAAATTGAAATTCACTAGAATATATGGAGACAGCTATAGCTTAGCTTTGTTTTTCTGTGGATAGCACTTCAGTAAGAAGAAAGGAGGGCTCTACTAACTTAAGATGTCTGATAAACCTGGTTGCTATTCTGTTTTTCAATTCTGTACATTAGACAGAACTGCAGTATCACCGTACCATAAGCAGCAAGGATCCATTCTGTAGGGTTCTGGGTCAGCCTCCATGATACAACTCATCTGATAAAAAGAATAATGGATCTAATTTCTTCTGCAGTTAGCAGAATTCTAGGTAATTTCACTCAGGAACCTTACTTTGGCTAAGCCCAAGAAATATGCTCACAGAGTGTATTATGACAGCAACAGACACCATCTGAAAATGTTCAGTCCCACTAGGGCTTGCCCTGTTCTTCTACGCAGCCATGCATATACTTAGCCATATGTAGCATGCAGATATACAGATATATATATATATAGTTATAGTTTAATTTTCATGTTTCTTTTCATCTTCCACGCACTTAACAGTTTGTGCCTCAACTATTAGCTTCAGTTTCCACATCTGACACTGTAGCCAAAAAGAAACACAGCAAGGTACTAGACAAAGGTATGTCATTAGTCAGAGATGAGGAACATAAGTAAGGGACATGTCAATGAACTGCTTCGCTACTGGAGTCAGCCTGTAAAGTAATCCCTGCTGATCCTTAAATGAAACATGTAATAAACTTATGCATAAAGAGTAACGTCACCACCCACTTTAATTTATCATTACAAGGCTCTGCCTACAAGGCCCATCTCATTTTGCAGCAAGATGAGACCAACGTATTTGCTCGAGCCATGATTATGTCATTATTCAGTCCCACCAACCACTTAAAAGTTAATTATATTCCTACCTATTTATACATACTGGTTCCAATACAGATTTCTGTCAAGTACCAGCTCTTTTGCTATACTGAAAGTTGGCCGCTAGTACCAGTTTTCCCTCTTTCATTTTGCTTCTGTTATTAATTTAGCAAGTCAGCTGGGAAAAGAAATCAGACAAAACCCCAAACCTAAAACAGGTTTGGTCAGACTACAGTAGAGCCTGTATTCCACCCTTAATCCTTATGAATTTCAGTATACTTGTCCACAGTTAGAAATAGGTACCTAGACATATTTAGGGACAATTTAAAAAAAAACAAAACCCAAAACAGAATACCTATTATCTTTGTACCTACTGCAGCTGAGAAATATCATTAACTGGATTGTATGTATAAAGACCATCAGTCCTACAGAAGTGGTACTTTTAATTAGGTAAAAAAAAATCAAGTAAGATCCCTGCAAGTAACTGTAACATACCGATGAACAACATGGAATGTTTTCTTGCAAATTTGAGACCTTCATTTCTGTCAACTTCACGGTTTTCCTATAATAAGACATAGCATTAATACACATTAACAACAAAACACACCAACAGATTACTTACTGCAGTTGAATTCTGTTTACCTTATCGATCTTGTTTCCAACTAGCATTTTCACTATGTCATTCCTTGTGCAGTAGGTTTCCAGTTCATTTAACCAGTTATCCAGCTTGACAAAAGTATCTCTTCTCGTTACATCATAAACTGAAAGATATTAGCAATATTATTTCCACAATACTTTTCCAAGAAATACAGCTTGTTACGAAAGGAGCAAAAATTACCTTTTTTTGAATTAGAAAACTGAAGGAGTCCTAAGGATTCCAATTTACTTACTACAGCAAGACAGTAATTGGAAAAAAAAGAGTTGAACATCCACCAAAAATCACTGATGATACTAATGCAGAGCAACTCTAGGATTCAGTCATCTGCTGTTCTCAGACTAATTTATCTTCAGGCATCCTAGCTTACAAGCTAGAGACTATCATTCTCCAAAGAACTCTGCAATTGCAGACCCCTGATGAAGGACACTTAACATGACTACACAAAACTTATGCAAAGAGGATGGCATGAACTTCTGCACTGAGTTAATCAGTTATACTTAAGACTTAACACCGCTGCTATGTTACTGATTTAGCTAGAAAAAGTAAACTGATCAGCAAATCCTCAAACTCTAGTGAACTACTGAATTTTCAGCATTTCAGTGTTTCAAATTTGTGTGGGGTGTAAGTAATAAGCCATGCTAGGAGCAGAAGGGGCAGACAAAAAGCAGACTTTGCTAAACCTAAAATCCACTATCCAACAAGTAATAGCTACCATTTCAAGCCATGAAAGTATTTTTTCCTTCATTCTCACACCCTGTGTGCAGACAGGCATAAACAGTTTGTTTCACTCAAATCTATAGCTTGGCTTTCATGAACCACCTTATTTTTAGGAAGTCATTCAACAAACAAATAGTCAGGAGAAGATTATTAAATAAAATGAGAGCACAAATCTCAACAGCAGAACTTTCTAGCTCCCAAACAGTCTTTATTTTCACAACTTTCAACACTAAGTGGCAGGTTCAGTGCCAGCACCTAAGTGACTTGACATGTCTTGACAGCATCTTCCTATACCAAGAAGATAATGCAACTTAGACTTGGGAAACAGTACTTACAAAACCACACATACCAGGAAGTTTCATGACACAGGTTATTTCAACCTAAGCAATTTAACTGCACAGTATCTTACCAAGAATCTCTTAAGTCAGACATGACTTAAAAAAAAAATAGACTTACTTCCCTGCCCTTACTTTAGTTAGCTCCTCACTTATAGCAGTGGAGAAGCAGAACTTCAGAGCTCAGTTAACACTTCAATGCCTAGTTAACAGGTTTCCATATACAAAAGAAAAGCAAAAGAGAGACTTCACTGTGAAGTTGCAATTATAGGTTTTGCCCTGGGTTTCTCTCACACAGACTGATGCTTTTTATGCTCCCAGCTAGTCTTTTCTAAGTGATTCTGACTGTGTAACACCCCATCAGTAAGAAGACACAAATAGAAAAATATCCCAGCCAGACTCCACAGTGTTTATATTAATTTCATTAGGAAAAAGGAATGGGGAGAAGGAAGAGAAAAGGTTATATACATACTGATACAGAAAGAATACACTGACAAGAAAAAAAAAATTGGTTTTGACTCAGCTTAGCAAGCACAGGCAAAAACCAAAAGTAATAAATAAAAGGCAGATTTCTGGCAGCACAGGGACAGCTCCAAGCTATCCCTTCAAATAGTAGTAGCTTTTAATCTCATGCAAAAATCAGTGGTTCTCAGGCTGGTGAGACTAACTATCTGAGAAAGAGGTCAGACATCAAATTCAAGATCCGTTAATATATGAGTTGTTCAGTACAGTTACAATGATTTTTAATATCAATAAGATATTGTAGAAACGTTATGAGTTTGTGTGTCAATGCATGAGAAAACCACAAACTTATTCCAAATAGCATGCAAAGCTATACTTACCTAGGATAACACCTTGTGCACCTCTATAGTAACTGGGGGTCAATGTTCTGAAACGCTCCTGACCTGCAGTATCCTAAAAAGCCATTCAGAAAGTTCCATTAGTGAGAATTTGAGCAGAATCTAGTTTAGCTCTCAGGTATTCTGCTTCTAATGAACATACAAAACAAGATTCAAAGTATATTCAACTACCAGACTGATTGGGTTTATACCCTCCCCTGCTCTTTTATTGCACATTAAGATTGTGTGTAGTCTGTTCTGGGAAACATCTTTAAACTATCAGGTGTAGTAAATAACTGGACTATATAGCAGTAAGATAGCCATTTCTGTGGAAGCATTTGTTCTGCAGCTAGTATGGCAGCAACCAGCAAGAAAGAAGAATAGCTGCAGCAGTAAGGTTTTGTAACAAGCATCAAAACCCATGGCAACAAAACTAGTTCCCTCATGTCAATCACCTTGGTTCAATCAAATTTGACTCAGTGCCAGGATAAATGCATTTAACATGCTATGACAGAGCAGAAAGAGAAATAAGGCAGAGGTTCTTCTGGTTTTAGGTTGAATTTACATCCTCAAATTTAAAGTGTCAACAGCTCTGAGAAAAACAAGTAATAGAATGCTGTTTTCTTCTCAGATTAAGTTACAGTGCACATTCATTGCAGACTTTATGCATTGAAGATATAAATAACTTCAACCAGGTTACCCGGGGTTAGAAGTGGCACATGGAACAGTGGATTCAAAATGGTTTCCTGCAAAAAGGACCTGAATAACTGAACTAGACTTCCAACACTCTAGAAGTCACTCAGCCAATCCCACACATCTCAAACTGGTTTGTCATGATACACCTTCACAAGCTTCTCTTTTCCAGTTTACCTCAGAATTATTTCTTCATATTCACCAATATGAAAGAAGATAAATCCTAAATTAGTTCTATGTAATATTTTGTCCCATGATCACTTGTCATTCTGCTATGAATCTGGCTTTTCTCCTGTATGTCTATTTGTCAAGTTGATGCGTTTATTTTCCTTGTCAAACCCATTTATTTTAGTGATGATTACTATTGTCACACTAAGACATAAGTCCTGTTTGTTAACTGAGATATGAAACACCCTCAAAGCAATAGAAATATTGCAATACATCCTTCACATTCCATTACTACTTCCCAAGGATGTGAAGGTCAGGTATCTTATGTGAGAAGCAAGGTTTTATTCTTGCTTGCTACAAGTCGTCACAACTGGGTCTGAATATTCAAAAGGTGCTTCAAGTCACACAAGTGTGAAGGCTGGTTTGCAGAATGGAGAATGTTTAAAAAGACGCTTGGAAGTGTTTTTTCTTTCTTCACTTGCCATGAATTTAGAAGTTCTATTTTTAACTAGAGTAGATGTTGAACACTAAGGCTAAGATTACAAACACTGCCTCTCTCTCAGCTGCATCTACTACAAATAACACTGACATCAAGCCTATAAAAGTCTTTGTATAAGGGCTATGAAGTTTTTAGGCTAAAAATTGTTTTGAGAGGTAGCATTTGAGCATAAATTGAGCACACAACAGTAATTCTTAACCTATTAATACACGTACTACATTTTGCCTAAAACACTTAGGTTAAGAAGTGCACCCCTTAAAAACCTGGCAAGTACAGACAAGAATGATGTATACAGGGAAGTCTCAGACTAGTGAGGGCTAGCTCTTTAGAAGTTAAACAATTAATTACTCATTAACACAAACTAGGAATTCTCCCATTCACTGTTTTAAAGTCTGACTGATTTAGTATCATTTTATTTCTCCTTTTCTCTGCCCCTATTCCAACCAGACTTGGAATCAGTGCTGTGGATGAAATTCATAGGAAACAGAATTGCCCTATTAGCCAGTTGTCCCACAGTTCATTCCACCTTCTGAATGGTTCAGTATTAACCTCCCACTCCTCCAAATCACCTTCATATTATATAGAAACTGATTCTATATAAACTCTACATTATACATGCCATCACTATTCCTAAAGCAAAGCAATACATTAAGAACTTAGGAGAGACTTACCCATATTGCCAGTTTGGCTTTGTTTCCATCAACTGAAATAGTTTTCACCTTGAAGTCCACACCTAGAGAAGGAAAAATATTTTAGTTCTTCAAACATATTACAGCTATTTTTGATAGAGAAAGTAAGAGAAAAAACAAAAATCAAGATTAGAAAAAAAGTTGTGTGTTGACAGGAGCTGGAAGAGTAAGTTTCATTAGCTATTTATGAGCCTTGCTCAAAACTAAAAGGTTTGGTTGCTGACAGGCTTTTGCAAAAGCCTAAGGGCCTTTTAAGCCATTGACTCAAAATATTTTATGGAACTAAGGCAAATACTACGTTTGCTGTATTAAAGTATATATTCCAGGACAAATATTTTGAGTTTGTAATTTAAAGGGATTAACTTACTATTCATTACTCATACACATGTTCTCTTTGAGTAAGTCCATGGTCTGGAAGAACAACATACTTTCAAAATAAAGAAGGAAGCTGCATTCAGCTAGCTATTTGTCCTGTTTCCCTATCTCAATCTGACCAAGTCGCATCAAGGTCATCATGCAGAGGTAAACCAATACAGACACTCACCTACTACATGACTGCTATCCTGTGAGAAACAATGTTAGACGACATTCTTCTAATAAACATTCCAAATAAGCTTTGGATCATTTGAACATGCAGGGTATCTCTTACAGGGATCCCAGCATCATTAGAGACTCATCAATACCACACTCAGTGGCCAAGAAAAAAACAAAACAAACAAAACAGGCAACACGGTAACAGTTCTGCTGTTGGTAAGACATCTACCTTAACATCTGACAATGCCTCCCCACTTGCTAATGACTGTACAAATTTAAAAGGATATAACATACAGCAGTTTGAGAGGCTGAGTACAGTTATGATCCATCTTGCTGTAATGTAAGCCTTAGGTTACCAACAGCAAGTAACTGGAAGTATGTGGCAATTAGTCTGGAGTGACTCTCACTCCCCACCAGGCAGCAGCCCTGAAATGAAGTAGTAGTGTGGAAAGTTGGTATCTTTATATGAACAACTTTCAAGTGTAACAGCAAACTTTTTGCACTTCATCTTGAAATGGCAGTCATAGTACTTGCTACAAGAATGTAACTATTCTAACACAAAATAATTAAGTAGGGCCTCATGATAAGTGTGCTGCATTTATATTCCCAAGGCCATGCAGATTACAAACAAGTGCAAACAGCTGTCAAAATACATTCAGCTTGAAGTCACAGAGGGTATAAAGGATGCTTAAGAAACTGCACATTACAAGCAGACTTATGACTTCACTGCAACTGACATTTAAAAGAGTTTTATTTAAAAATATACGATTTTTATTCCGCTGTTTCACAGCGTCAGCTCACTAGTGTTCCCTGAAGCGTCAAGTGATTTTCAGACTACATTCTGCACTGGAAGAAGCCCATACTCTATTTCAAGCAAAATTTTGCCAAACTACATTAACTTCTGCAGTACCTGAACAGAATTCTGTTTTTTCAGGGACTAAGACTCTTATTCCCTAACTTACCAGTAATATAATGTTCCATGCCACGCATAAGAATGGTACATTATTCTGGAGTTATGTTCCCAGAAAAGAACAGTCACTATTGTCTTTAACCACCAGTTCTTAGAACTTTACCTAGTTCCACATAGAAGACTGCTACACTAGCAAGCTGACTCACATTGATCCTAAAGAACATCCTGTCCTGCCAATTTTTTAGCACTCAACAGTAATTTTTAGACTAATACAATCTCTTCTTCCACTGTAATTGCATACATCTTTCCTTAAACTGTAAAAGTCACCATTGTTCAGCCAGGATATCCAACAGCTCATAGCACATTCTTTTATCCGTTAGTCTGACATCAAAACATCAAACTGTAGATATTACAGGTCTATTGGGTACTTAATGTAACAAATGAAAAGCATGTCATAGTAATTTCAAGAAGGAAAACTTTTTTTCCTTAGGATAATCCTATCTGGTGTATTTTGAAGCCACAGTGTCCTTCTCCCATTCAGTAAACAGATTCAGCATCTTGTGCCTACACAGTTCTACAATTTTCATTTAATGGAAAGTGCATATACACCTTTATGTTAGCCTTGCTGCTGCCTTAAAATTAAAAGATAATGTTTTAAATTCTGCATGAGCAATGCAAGTAAATTAAGAAACTAAGACAATGAATAAGCACTATGTGTTATAGACTGATTATGGAAAAGCAAAAGTACAAAAATGAACACCAAAATATATCCTTTAAAATGATCAAGACATGGCAAATATAATTCTAGTAAATCAAGGAGCTCAACACATACAAAAGCCTGTTACCAAAAAGAAATCTTTTAAATAACTAGGTTTTTGATTATCAATCTGCCATAAAAGAGGACAAGTAGAAAAAATGCAGGGTTCAAGGAAAATCTTGTGAAATTGAAGAAACAGGGTTCTTACGTTCCCTAAATATTTCAGTGAAATACAGACATGTTTGTGTGACAGGTGGCAGTTCTGAGCTTGGAAGAGCAATGTTTCTACCCTTGACAACAGAAAGCTGACAGTGCTTTCCACCATGCCTTGGAAAGCATCCAGAAGCAAGACAGCACTACCAGACTGTACTTGTGTGTGTTGACACCTACCTCCTCAGGCAAACAAACCCAGCATTATGCACTAATATACTACCGACTTAGTCAGCAAGGAATAACTTTGTCACCTTCATGCTGCTCTCCCCTTTAGGCCAGTATGCCATGCCGTATTTACAGGAAGTGCAAAATTGGCTACAGTATTATTTGTGTTGTAAGTAACTGACAAATTGAACAGCTTAGAGTTGGAGGACTCCAAGCAAAAGGAAGGCTAAAAAGTTAAGAGATAACAGATCTGTGCAATACATTACTTCATTTACGAAATAAGGATTGCACTGAACGCTTCTCTAGAACCTCTTATACAAAGAACAAGCAAGTAAAGACAAGCATGAGCAGTAAAAGCAATACAGAAAAGAGTCTGCTAAGATCCACGTGATGAAGCCTGGTGAGCAAGTTAGCCTCAAGAGAATGCAAGGAAGACAGGCAATCTGCTAGGTTGAATAAAAGATGGTTAATCCAACTGAAGCTACTGAAGTCAAAGTATTTGCCCAAAGGCAACTTATTCTTCTGAGAATACCATGGGATTTTTTACAGAATTCTGTAGAAAACACACCCCCACAAAACAATAGTTTAGGGTTTCATTTAAGTTGTACCCAGTAGGTTTGTTCAAGCTACAAAGATAAGGTACATCTCAACAGGACACTGCAAGGGACAAACTGGCTGCAGCCAAAGCTTCTCCCAGTGTCGTGGTTTTGTGTGCAGTTGTTGTTTGTTTTGTGGTTTTGGTTTCTTTCAAACATATAGCATGTAATCTCTTCACTTTCTAACCCAACTAAAAAGATACAGTCACTTCAACCAGTTCAACAGTCAGTACACAGATGACATTGAAAGATGACATTATCTGTAGTCAATCCATTCATTCTGGAAAAGCAACGTACCTTTCAGTCTCCACAGCAAAGCCTTAAAATTATTTTAAAACCTCTTCTGTCCCCAAACTCAAAATTAAATAGTGTTTAATTAAAAATAAATCCTAACAGCTAGGGCCTAACAGCTGACCTAGGCCAGCATTTGCTCAGTCTCTACAAACTGTTTTTTCTTGTCAAACGATCATATTCATTCCAGATTAGTATATTTGGTTCAGAACCCAAACTCTATTTGAAGTAATGCTCACATTTGAGTACTTTTCCTCCTTTTCCACATCAGAAACAGAGCAGGGTAGGACCTGCCAGTAGATCTTATTACTAACAGGGCAGAATCTGCCAGTAGTAAACCTTGAGTTGTTATTTAACAGCCAATAATTATCTACCACACATGCTGTTGTGCATTTTGGCAAATGCCAAAGAGGAAGAATTACTTCAGGAAATCATTCCTTAGTTTCTCAAATAGCGCACCAATGTCAGTTTTTGACAGTGATGGAGTATTATGTATTAAAAACAGAATGAAAACAAACCCAACATAAATAATAAGAAAAAAAAACATTAAAGATACCCACACTGAGATCAACTTAGTCTATTGGTACCCAAAACATCATGAAAGCTGAAGCAGCTATTCTGCACTGGCTTTCTGGACCACATACCAATTAAGTAACACAATTTGAAGTATATACAATGCCCTAACTATTTAGAATAGAATATAAGACTGCCATCTTCACCCCCTGGTCTGTTCCATTCCCATTTCCTTCCACTCTATCTTCCCTCATGAACTGAGATAGGGCTACTTGCACAAGTTCATTTTTTTACAAGCAATGAAATGAACCAAAAAAAAGGCCATGTTCCTCCCCACAGTTGCTTGGTGCATTACATGAAACAGTACTCCTGTATCTTATTAACACTAATGAAAAATAGATCAATTTCTTGACTTCTTAACCAATTAAACAGAGATGGCTTTGTTTACCAACAGCTGAACTCAAGGAAAAAAATCTGACACAAGTCCTTAGCCAGAACTTTTCCTACTGAGAAAGTAAAAAATGCAACTGAAATGCATTGTGTGGAAAAGTCATCTCTCTTTTCCATTGCTTCAGTTATTAACTTGGCACAGACCTACATCACATTCTTAGAAGTTTCATTTTGCTTCCTTTGACAACCATCTAAATAGTATATCCTGCATGCTGGGTCACTCTCCTCCAGCACAACTGACTTTACTGTTGGTAGGCATCACACCAACATAGCAATGACACATGACTGCTTTTTTTCCCAGCAGCTCTAGACTCTTGGCTCTCTCCCATTTTTCTCAAGAGTCTAGCTGCCAAGGAACTGATTACTAAGTAAGCAAGAAAAAGACACATTGTAATTTCCTCCCTATAGAGGAAAAGCAGAAGCCACACAGTCCAGTACACTCTAGTACTGTCAGGAGTCTTGCAAGAGCTAGCATCCCCTACTAAACAGAATCTTAAAGCTTCTTAAGACAGCTACTAAGTATCATATTACATAGAACACAAGTCCTGGACAGCAATATTAATATTCAAACAACTTGATAGCTATTGTGCACAAATAAATCAGTAAGAGACATAACAGTAGCTCTTACATTTCTATTTTACCCCGAAACGCTGGCGAACAGTGAACTGCAGGTTGTTCCATTAGAACTTTTCACTGCCCATACCTATGACTTTCATCTTCATGGTGAAGGGTGACATTTATATCTGTTTTTCTGGCCAAGGATATATTTTTGCCTGAAGAGGACAACTACAGGCCAGTACAGTCAATGCTCTACACCAATGAGCACTGCATGCTAAAATTGAGTCCACATTGTTCTTTCCTTATAGAAAAACAGACATGTCTGAACTTCACTACCAGTTAGGCAAGTCTGTACTGAAGCTGGTAGAAAGTTTTCTAAGGTAGCATCAGCACATACTTACCAATCGTTGCTGCAAGTTCCGGGTCAAATGTATCATCTGTGAACCGAAGCAGAAGGCTGATAGGGAGGGAAGAAAAATAAGTTACTATTACTGCAGCATATCTGTAACTTGCCAGAAGCCTATAAATTACAAGTCTGAAAGTAACAGCAAGATCACATAGCTAAATAAAAACACATCTCATTTCTCCATAATTTCTCTCCTACAAAAGCCAAAGAATGGATCACGAAAATAATACATTAGACATGCTCTGCTAGAAAAGCCTAGGCCTCCTCTCTGCATCTATTACCAAGTGTGTCTCTTTGAAAACAAAGTACCACACAAAGCTGTCAAATCAATTGACTGAACAGTCACATGGTCTGCTTCTCAAAGTGTTTTATTTCTATCTTATTCTATTTTTGTTCTCCCAGAATTCAGTACAAAAATAAGATTTTTTTGGTTTCATATTGCCTCACACACTATTTTTGTAAGACTAAGAAGAAAATTCCCAAGTCAGCTTTTCACCCCAGAATTAACTCCATGAACTGGGCACACAGCAGAATAGTAAGGACTACACACACCAGAAATAAAGATGCAGAAGTTTAAGAACAGAATTAGCTCACCACTGTTTCACAATTTTGTTCCTTTTTATATATAAAGACTTTCACAGACATATTTCCCCTAACCTGATGGGTATGTTTGCTACCAAAAGAACAGCTACCACAAAGATGTACTAGCACATCACACTATGTATTAGGGTCCCTCAAAGAAGTGCCCATAATGCCACCGTACTTGTGCCAAACGTAAGTATTTTGGCAAGAGACAAAAGATTCCCAGCATACAGTTTTTTTAAATCACCATCTTATGCATCTGTGGCAAGTGTATATTACCATGTGGCAGACAGCTGTTTGCTATGACTGACAGCTTCTATTCATTTCCAGGCTAGAGAAACAAAACAGAGCTCTATTTATTTTTTGTCTCCCACCCATCCTCCTCCCCTCCCATCCCCGGCTTTTTTCTCTTCTTGCATGTGAATTCAGCAGCCAAGCCCTTTTTAGCATTTGGACACAGTCCTGCATTGACAGAAAAGTGACTACAGAAATTCCTTTACTTCAATAAGGCTAGGTGACAACGCTGAAGTTAACCACAGACTAAACTTTTTTTTGTTACTCCAGAACCCCAAAACCAAATGGTAGCTTTATTTACCAAAAAATAATTTTTAAAAATTGATAGCACATAGGTTTTTAGTGGTACCTTCAGACAGTTGTATCAGGATGCTATTTAAGAGCAGCTATTTTTAGTTACAACCAAAATTAGTTTCACTCAAAGCAGGCAAAATATGGAATCCTCATACTGCCACTAGAATAAGAACATCAGTTTACAAGTCTTAAATGCAAAGTCCAGACAACTTCTCCTTTCCCCACCTTTTTTTCATATGCAGATATTCTCTTCTACAAAGTACATCACAGTCACAGGGCCAGGTTTAAGACAGCATTTGGTTCAGAAGTCAGGACTCCAACCGCTTACTACACCATCCTAATACAAGTTTAACATCTGACCTTTCCTAGTCAAACAACAGCTAAGTGACACAAATTCAGGAATAGTTCAGTATTAAGTTCCTGTACCTGAACAACTGTAATGCTATCATTTCATATCAATTTTATTTCCTCTACGTAAAGTCTCTATTAAGAACTTTTCTGATGTGAAGAAATAAGTAGGTATACAAAAATACTGTGCATACTGTCTCAGGAAAAGTTCCTCCATATGACCACAGAAAAAAGAGATGACCTCAACTAAAAGAAATTTGCTCAGACCATGTCTGTCACCAGAGGCCTACTGTACTAGATTATCAATTCAGTAGCTAACGCAAAACAATGACTGATAGATTTTTAACAAATAAAGGGGGGTTTTCTAATTAAAAACTTGTATGTTATTTCGGGTCATGGTGGAAGCCTCAGATTACTGACATAAAAACATCAAATCTAACATGACTATTGTGGTATGTTGCCAGATGTCCTCCTGCATTTATATGCTGTCTTCTTTATTAGGATCTATGGCACTAACAAAAAAAAATAAAGGAAAAAAATAGTAATCAAGACAGAAAAAGGTAGTTTAGACAAAATCCATGAAAGGGCTGGGGATGGGGGAGGGGAGGAAATCAACCTCGAAGTACTTGCGAAAGAGCATAATTAGTCAGCAGAAGAATCAGTGGTAGAACTACTTCAGTGCCTATCTTATATGCCTTCCTCCCCCCAGTGCTGGGTTACTTGACTCTACAAGTACATACTATGAACTAGATTAACCCCAAAGTGCTGCGGCAATGTACAAGTGCGTCCATCTTCACAAGACACAAGGCTGCACCGGACAGAGTGCAGCCCGGATCCCCCCGGCCCGGCCGGCAGAGCCCTGCTTCACCTCCTTCCAACCGGGCCTGGCAGATAGCAGCTCGACCCTGCCCGCTGCGGGGCCTGCGGCTGGGGAAGGGCTGCGGCAGGGGCAGGCAGCCCCGAGCAGGGGAGTCCTCCCGCCTGCAAGAGGACTGGCCGGGAAGGGGCGAAGGAAGGCCCCCCGCGGGGCCTCGCCCTCCCCAGGGCAGGCCGCGCCCAGGCCGGGCGGCCGCCGAGGCGGAGCTGGGATTGTCCAGCGCGGCGCCGCGGGGGACTAGGCCGGACCCGACCGGCGCCCCGCGTCGTGGCAGGAGAGGCTGGGGGAGGCGACAGCCCCCTCACCTGGACTTGCCAACGCCGCTCTCGCCGTGGGTTTTGTTGAAG